AACTGATTTCACAGATTTCTTAACTATAAATTCTGATTAATTAAGTAAAGAATGTTTACGAAATGTAATGTATTTAGTAATATTTATAAAAGAATATATGCTGATAAACAAACATGTTAGTAACCCTGTCTAGTACGTGGCGAACAATGGGCTCCCTCCAATTCGCACTATTCAGATCGTCCTTGGTTATGGCAGTGATCAGAAAGACATGAAGATACAGGGGATGCTAATAATTTCCGGGTTAGATGAGGCTTCTATACAATGATGATTTTGGCTATGTATAATGGACTATCTTTATCTCTTGAAATTCGATTACAGGAATTAGAACAAGAACTAGAGAGAATTAACTGTGATTTTAGGAGTCTGTGAGGTAAGAAGGAAGGGAGAAGTGAAAATTGAACTCAACAGTGGATATGTATTCTAGTACAGGGTAACAGAAAATGGTAAAACTAGTAGAGTCTGATAAATTATGTAAAACAGTGAAGAAACACAGAGGACATTAGGAAGTTCAATTGCAATTTTTAACAAAGGTACTTGTAAATAACAAAAGTTTTGAAACAACTAAACGCCAAATAGAGAACTCATCGAACATCCATAAAGAACATGAATTTCCACTTTCTTTTGTCTTTGTAGACTTCGAAAGAGCTTTTAATTCTTTTCCCATCTGCAGAAGTGAAAGCTTTAGAATCTAATGGCATAGAAAGCATATATATATATATATATATATATTAACATATTTAGGAAAATCTGTAACAAAAGCAACGACAACCATCTATTTGGATAAAGAAAAGGCTACGATCAGGCTTGGAAAGGGGATCAGAGAAGGAGACACAATATCGCTAAAACTATTCAATGTTGTATTAGAGGAAGTTTTAGAATTCCGGACTGAAGCAAGAAAGAAATTAAAATTAATGGGAAATTTCTGAGTCATCTCCTCTTTGCTGACGATATAGTTATCATCAATAACCCAAATGAACTGGATGAAATACTGGATGAACTAGTTGGGGCAAGTATTCAAATAGGATTAAATATGAATCTGCAAAAGACGAAAGTAATGTTTTGTGAATTTACTATGAAAAAGATTATGACAGAACCGGATTGAAGAAGTACAAAATGATGTCTACTTGGATCAAGAAATAACTATGGATAACAATATCACGAATGAAATAAACAGAAGAATTAGGATCGGATGGGGTACATTTGGTAAAAGTTGGAAAATTCTAAAAAGCAACCTGCCACTGTACTGTACCTGAAAAGAAAGGTATTCGACCAATGTGTAATACCATCACTCACCTATGGAACAGAAACGCGGACACTAACAAGTAAAACAATACAGAGGCTATAGACAACACAAAGAAGTATGGAAAGACGCATGCTGGAGCATTACGAGAAGAGATAGAAAGCGAATCACTTGGATAAGAAATACAAAGGTATATGATATCAATGAGAGGATCAAACGTTCAAAATGGCAATGAGCAGAAGACAAGACAACACATCCTAGACTGATACCCACGAGGGATCAAACACCGAAGAAAAAGACGCTAAGTACAATGAAGCGACGAAATAAGGAAAGTGGTTGACATTGGTAAAACAAAGCATTAGATACGGGAAAAATGAAAAAGATTAGAGGAGACCTTTATCCAATGACAAAATTAAAGAGTACCATTTATTCAGTCTTAAATATATTTTTTTGAATTCAATGAATGGTTTTAAACTAATTAAATGGTGTTCTTTATCTTTATCACTGAAACTTTTATGTTATCTCTGTTCATTAAAAACAACATGAATGACCTTTAAAATGATCTTTAAGATAAAAAAAAAGGTGCCATACCTGACTTCCTACGTAAATACATTTTAACAAAATTATCTCCTTACTTTGGAATTAAAAAAAAGTAGCTATACAAGGGACTTTTGATTCACTCTGTATATAAATATATTATATTATCCATAAGATTACACGAAGTATATGAGTAAAAACATATAGGTATTGCATATACCTATAATTCTATTTTATAAAAATTATAAAGAGGCACAGTGTAACTATTTAGCCTAAAATAACAGAATTTCGACATAATCATAAAGCCTTAATAAAATCCTTTACGGCAAACTAATAAAATAATTTGTTTAGAAAAATATTCTAGCCGATTTGATTAGTTTTAGAAATAATAACTTAATGGATTCTATAAATAGTGTATTTAATACAAATCAATTTATCGAAATTACTGTTTTCGACTTTATGACATTTACTGTACATAAAGTTCCATTAAAATATGTTATAAATATAATGTAATAAAACAAGGAAATGTTTTTTTTTTTCTTATTACTTTCAACTTGTAGAAGAAATATAGTATATAATTCAAAATACATTTCTTCTACAATTTTGTTATTATTTGATTAAAATAGTAGATTAAAGGCCTATATTTTATTACAGGTCTTGCTATATTATTAATAATTGTGTTGAGATTCTGTGCAGCCATCGTAATTTGGGCAGTATTGATAATTGTAGGAATTGCATCAATTATTCTGACGTCTTTCTTATGGTAAGTAAAAGTTCATACTGTAACTTGTTATTATTTAAATTTACTCATTAGAAGACAAACTTTTCTATTCTATTTTATTAGTATATTATAGATTTATAGCGAAATTATAAATTTATACATTGAAATACGTTTAGGTATAATTGGCATCAACGTAAAAAAGAAGCGGATGAACTATCAAATGATGATTCACAAAAAGAAGGAAAAATGCAAACTCAAAAGTCTTGGTTAATTGCGGCAATAATATCAACTATATTTATGGTGAGTTAAACTTAAATTTGAATAAACATATATATAATTTTTATGATAAATTTATAATATTGTTAATTTCTTTTCAGGTTATCTATTTATTGATAGTATTTATTATGAGGAAGAGAATAGGATTGGTAAGTAATTTTATTTTGAACGTTTAAAAATTTTTAATTAAATGACTTTAATATACATTTAAGAGCATTAAATTTATTTTAAATTATTATTATTATTACGAATAATAATTATTTAGTTTCATTAAGAATAAAATTAGAAATAATTAAAATATGTTTCTTCCAAATAACGTAACCAACACCTTATTGCTTGCTGAGGGAGTTTTATTAAAAACGAACGTTTTCGATCCACTTAACGGATCATCATCAGGTTCGAATATATGAAAATGGAATACATCATAAATGGAACAATAAGTTCAAAAATTCAAAAATATCAATAAACTGATAACATATTAATTAATATGAATAAAAATAAATTGTAAACGATACCAAATAATAAATAATATACTACAACGACTAAACATTAATACTAAGTTTCCTTTAAATCAATTAAATATCATATTTCAGATGATGCGCTACTTGTAAGCTTTTTAACGGCAAATTTCCAAGCCGAGGGAAGACCTTCCGCATCCCTAGCATTAATGCATCCGTCTTTAAGTTTGCTCCTGTATATCTCCATTTTTTCGGCCGTCCTCGCCAAAGTTGGTGAGTGTACTTGCCTCACGACTTCCGCTTCCTCCCATCCAACCAGGGATCCTTGGGCCTGCGCCATCTGGGCCAATATTGTCGTATTAGACCCTTTTCTAGCATCATACTTGTGTTCCCTAA